CAACAGGTGAATCTGAACGAGACGCACTGATTGAAAACTGATGAACCTATACAAAACAGTTGGAAAAGCATATGGACGTAGTAGGACTACCTCGCAGTACCCATATACGTACTGGGCGGTGTACTCGCCGCGCGCAGCACGTAGGAAGGATATTCGCCAATTGGAGCTGGCTTATACAATGTACAAACCATTAATTTCAGAGGCAATGCCCACGACCACTTCAGCGCATTCATACTTCGCGATCGCACTGCTCAACTGGATCGCGCGGTCGCATCGCTCGATTTTATCGCGCGACTGGATCGCTCGATTGGATCGCGAAGTATGAACGCGCTCTTAGAATTATCCATGCTGTTCATAGGTGAGGTAGTGTGGACTGCAACGAAAAACTTCACGTCAGAAAATGGTTAGGCAGCGGCGGTATCGATCACTTCATCGATTATTTATCTCTCGCTTGGCACAATTTGGGCCTTATTTGGAGGTCATCGGCGGTTTCCTCAACTAATTCTTCGCGAGCAAGTCAAGCAGCACGTAGACTTTTGGTTTCCAAGCCCTCTCCCTACTAACGTTCGCTGGTTCATCGCGAGACGAAGAGCCCAAATATTCTTCTGAAAAATGGTCCCCACCGAACATTGCGTCTCTGAGCTTCGTGTTTTCTCTACGTCTCCTTCACAATTTGCGCAGAACAAGTCAGGCGTTAGACAAAAGACTCAAACTCGGCCCCAATGTACAGGTCACAGCAACGCGACCAAACGCTAGATTGCCTCAGTAATAACAAACATGATGGTTCCCTGAGCTTCATTTACCGGTTGAGAAATCGTTGGCTACTCGTGTATGATTTCCTTGAAGCCTCCGAGACGACCTCATGTGCGAGGTGAACGGGTCTGTAGCTGCACAAGCGTGCCACTTTCTCCGCTCATAAGCGCACAAAAACTCGGCTGAAGCGCAGAGGTTCCCGGGTGCCGTCCAACTAAGCTCCCACTATCCTCTATGTGCAGCATTTGCGTCGATACCGATATTCCTGCAACGAGACACGCAGTCAAAGCTGAAGAACAACAGAAGCGAGAGGGCGCAGACAAGTGGCGCCTCTGACTACGTCAGGCATGTGCGCCATGCGGCAGCGCGGATGGAGGAGGGAACGGCACCCCGGTATCGCCACTCTCCGGCCCCGTTCCCGGGCACATTTGACTCGAGACGGTGGTACGCTACTGCAACAGCGGATCAGTTCATCTTGCACATGGAAAAGACCGTCCTTAAAGATGAGTGTTCAGCTCGTCTTAAGCGATATTTGGGCAGCAGCTCGCCAAGATATTGTTCCGCCTCAACCGCTTCTCCTTATCACCTCACAACAACCATTCCAAATGGAGAGAGAGATGGTAGCGGAACAAGCGAACCAGTGAAGAGCACTTGAAAACGAATAATGGGCGTCGCCGTGGCCACTGGGAGGAGCCCTGAACCCGTCGGAGCCGGCAGCGATTTCCTTACGCATTTCTGAGCTGCGATAGTAGTACGTCCTCCAGGCAGTACTACCATGTTCAAAGAAATCGCCTAAACATCAAGTGAACGCAGGAGGGAGGCTTTAACCCATTGCGTACCGCGTGCTGCACCATGTGCAGCACGCCCGTTTGCCTCTGTATGGCCGCGTGCTGCACATGGTGAAGCACGCTTCGTTTGAACTTATTCAAAATTTTTAGATGATTTAAAAGAGTCGGGGTATTCCCGGTACATTTTCCGAGAAACACCTCAACCATTATATTCTTTGTTTGATTCTCATTTAAGAAGGAAACCGAAATCCTGGTTATAACATGATTGAAGATTCGCAAAATGGTGTGACAGAACAGTTTCTAAGCACACTGCGTCACTTTTTCAATTCTTCTTAATTTTATCAAGCTTTTTTGGCTAGTTTTTGCACATTTTTCGGCTCATCACTTTTATCACGTAACAATATTGAATCCCGTTTAGCATACGTTTACATATAAAAGTGATGCATAATACGATGTGTGTACAATATTTTTATATTATATGTATAAGATAAAAATCTTATGTGTTTATACTCAGCGCGCCACAAGTCGCGTCGATAAAACGGCGTCGGCCACAGGAGCCGGTTAGCGCAAAAACGCCGCGGTACGCAATGGGTTAAGAGTGGCGCCTACACCATCGTATTGCTATGCCCCTTTATTCGTTCACTACATTATAAAATCTGAAGCTCACCTTGCTATTAGAAAGCGGGGCTAAATACGGATTCACCGGCTCTCGACCAAGTTTGTTCACCATCGCCACCAAGCAAAACACTGTCGATTTACGAACGCTTGACTGAGGATTTGAATAACACTGTAAAACGAGTAGCGCGATAGCATCTCCCGTAGAACACAGAAAAGGAGTCCAAAAATCTTACATTAACAACTCCTGGTGCTATTTCAGGTAATCTTGCTGTGAGCTCTTCGACATCTAGTGACTCGATAAGACGAGTTAACATCTTCAAAGCGGGACCCACACGATTGTCATTCTGTGAAATACGAAGTATTCGTGGTGACCGAAGCTGGGAAGCATGCTAACGCCAGAATACTGGTAACAAACCTCTTGAGCAATGATTGGTTTCGTCGCACGAATGACAACGTGTAGAGGAAAATGGGTGGCTAACGTTCTCAAACATTCATCGGCCACATTTATTAACTGCTAAAAAGAGAGCGAATATATGTTTCTCGCATTACTGACAACTGTAACACAAAAGTGGCACAATCCTCATTCAAAAGCCTCTGATAGCAGTTGGGAAGAGACCGTGATAAGACTTAACAAACAGGCGTGACAGTGCGACATTTAACGCTGAGATAACTCCGGATTTATGATTTAGCGAGCGAATT